GTTGTAGAGAGCCTGAGTTTCAACTTGTTCTCAACGCATGCTGTTTCTCTGAAGCAACCAATCCTCTACGACGAACGTGGTGCAACCCTACAAAATGGGCTGCTCTTTGCTAGAGAGGAAAAAGCGTCTGCAGCATATGCCATGCGGTTGCCGTACGACCCATATGCGACTATTGTAGACCCTGCTGCTTTGCCCGCATTTGTGACTGCCACCGATTCCGCCCCCGCCGTTGGCTCCGCGCTTTCCCCTTCCCAAAAGGGGGGCTCCGCGAAATCATTGGTGTCCATGTTGCGTATTCCTCCCGCTGGCTCAGCTAGCGTAGTGCTTTCGGCTGATAGCGCCCCGCCCACTGGTCCCAACAGTGTAGTACCTGCGAGTGAGAGCGTCCCGCCCGCCGGCTCTGCCGACGTAGGACCTTCCTCGGCGTCCGAGTTTGTGTGTGTGGGTACTTTTCCGGGTATGGATCTTGGAGATACGAGTGTGCTCACCGACGAGCAGCTCATGGATGGCTATGATGACACCCCGTATCAAGATTTTTTCCCCGTGTTTATCCCAGAGAGTGACGCTGCGAATGTGGCTGGTGTTTTGGATAGTACTGATGGGGGTGCTGATTTTGACTTGGGTGCGGCCGTGCTTGGCCCTGGTGCGTCCCCGTTTGTTGTTGGTTCGACTGAAAAGTCCGTTGACATCAACCGCTTCCACCGCTCCCTTGCCCACGCTTGCGAGCCTCTTTTGAGAGAAACTGCCCAGCAGAGAGGCATCGTGCTCACCGGCAAGCTGGAACCGTGCACGGACTGCATGAAGGCGAAGGGCAGGCGAGGGTCGGTGCCGCGGGGCCGGGAGCGCGGGCGTCCAAGCCACTGGGGCGTGTTCACCTGGATCTGTGTGGACCGCTGCTGCCTTCCCTGGGCGGCAACCTCTACCTGTCCGTCGCCGTGGACAGCGCCTCGCGGTGGAACAAGGTCTACGGTCTCCGGCGGAAGTCCGACGCGCTGGCGGCAACGAAAAGGCTGCTGGCGGACGTGGGGCGGTACGACCTCGGACGAATCGAATGTTTCCGCGTCGACAACGGCACAGAGTGGACCCGCGGCGATTTCCGGCGCTTCTGCGACGACAACGGCATCGGCGTCGAGTTCACCCCGCCCGGCGTCCCGCAGTACAACGGCGTCGTCGAGAGCGCCATCTGGCGGATCATGANGAGTGGACCCGCGGCGACTTCCGGCGCTTCTGCAACGACAACGGCATCAGCGTCTAGTTCACACCTCCTGGCGTTCCGCAGTACAACGGCGTCGTCGAAAGCGCCATCCGGCGCATCATGAAGGCCGGCATGGCCGCTCGCCGCAGGGCTGCCCATGTGCTCAACGTTGACTTCGCCTCCATCCCCGGCCTCGACGAGCGCGGTGACCGTCTTTGGATGGAATCGGCGAAGTGGGCCGCCGACGCTCTCAACCAGTCGGCGACCAAGGCCAACCCCGGGCGGCGCTCGCCGCACGAGATGTTCACC